TGAAATGATTGTCCGTTTTATGGGTGGTCGGGGGGCTGGCGTGCGGTAAGGAGGGCCCTATGATCCACTGCGGGTCAGTCATAGCCGCCGGTATATCCCAGGGTAAGAGTACGACGTTCCGCAAGGACTTCAAGATTATGCAAGAGTTTCGTGAGGACAGGGAGAAACGGGATTTCGTGTCGGCAGGTATGATACAACTGGTTATTAGTGTTGAGCTAACTGTCCATTTTGATGGGTGTGTGTGTGGTGAGGGAACAGTAGGTTTTGATGTTTAGTTTGTAGTTAGTGTTACTGTAGTTTTGATAGTGTTTTTCGTTTAAAGTTTTTTTTGATTTAATTATTGATTTGTTTTTTATGAAGAGTTTACTATTTGTGTGCCGATCCCCCGACATGCCTGGCCCTCTATGTGAGCAAGTCTATATGAAGGGAACTGTAGTTTTTTAAGTTTGTAATTTAGTGAGTGTTTGTTTTCAATGTTAGTTTAGTTTTATTTGTGTTTTCACCACCGGGGTAATTGTATATTTAATTTGTTTGCATAAATAGTTAACCACTTATTCACTGACTTTTACAGTAGTACCGTATAGTATGTGGACATCCGTTATAGTGAACTACTATTTCATATCCTGTTATACAATACTTTATTTATTGCATTTGAGTATAACTTTAATAAACAGCCTTTCCTTTCATTAACTAAATAATAAGTTTTATGTAAATTATATTTTAACCATGGTAAAACACTTACAAATAGCAAGCACACATTTTAATTAACCCCCTTTTAAACTAATACACTATGTACTACCAAACATACCTATACTAACAGCCTGTCCACCAACCCCCACACACATTAGGTTATGCCGAACCCCTAACCCACCCATAAAACGGACAATCATTTCAAAATCACACCTAAACCCCCATAACTATCACCACTAAAACACACCCACTATTCTCACACTACAGGTGCTGCCGCCGGCGTAGCGGCCGCTTTCGGAGCACCGGTAGGGGGCGTACTATTCTCCCTGGAGGAGGGCGCCTCCTTCTGGAACCAGACTCTCACGTGGCGTATATTTTTCTGCTCGATGGTCAGCACCTTTACGCTCAACCTAATCCTATCGGCCTACCATAATCACCCTGGCCAGTTATCCTACGCGGGTCTACTCAACTTCGGCCAATTCACGGAACGGGACTTCAGCTACAACTTCGCCGAACTGCCCCTCTATATGGCTATGGGTGCGTTCGGGGGGCTTATGGGCGCCGCCTATAACTACATGAACTACAAGCTGACGGTGTTTCGCATCCGATACCTCCACCACCCGGTGCTCAAAGTGGTCGAGGCCGTAGTGGTAGCCATGGCCACCGCGACGATAGGCTTTCTCATGATAGTCTACATCAACGACTGTCACGTGACGGTTAAGGAGAATACCGTGGAGTACCCGATACGGTACCGGTGCCAGGAGGGCGAGTACTCCGTGATGGGCGCCCTGTGGTTCAACACACCGGAGGCGTCACTGAGAAACCTGTTTCATAATATAGAGGGCACGTGGAGGCCGGCCTCCCTGGCCGTGTTTGTCGTCATATACTACCTGTTGTCGTGCTGGACCTACGGACTCAGTATTAGCTCCGGGCTGTTCATACCGGCGCTACTGGTGGGCGCCGCCTGGGGTCGACTCGTGGGCATAGGACTGACCGCGATTTTTCCCGGACAGGAGTGGGTATGTGTGGGTGTTTAGGGGGTTGGGAGGGTTATGGAGTTTGTTATAGATACTGTTAACTAGTTTATAGTGTTTTTTAAATTAATTTTATTATAAGTTATTAAAGTTTATATTTATAGATCCCTTTCCCCTCACATACTTGTTTGTATGGAATGGGTTAATGGGGTTTAGGAGGTATGGGAGGGGTTATGGAGTCTATTAGGTGTACTTACTGTTAGTTATTATACAGTGTTTTAAAATAACATTTCCTAAACTAATTAAATTAAACACATTATTAATTCGTATATTTTAATACCCTTTCCCCTCAACCCATACCCCTGTGAGCACAGGTATCTCCCGGAAAGTTCGCGCTGATAGGCGCCGCCGCCAACTTGGGAGGCATAGTCCGGATGACCATCAGTCTGACTGTGATATTAATCGAGGCCACCGGGAACCTGACGTTTGGTCTGCCCATCATGATTACTCTGATCACCGCCAAGTGGGTGGGCGACCAGTTCACGGAGGGTATATACGACATACACATACAGCTGTCTAGCATACCGTTCCTCAATTGGGAGCCACCCTTTGGCGCGAGTAATATATACGCCTCGGAAGTCATGTCGAGTCCGGTCACCACGTTTAGGACCACCGAAAAGGTATGTTGTGTTGTGTTATGGGGTTATATGTGCGGGAAAACGGTACTAATTATTATGGGTTTGAGTTTTAATTTAGTTTTTAATTTAGTTTTAGTTTAATTTAATAATATATTGTGAGCACCGGTAGTATTAACTCTAGTATGCCTACCATTCCCGGTGTTAAACGGACAGGTAATGCGAAATAATGTGTGTGTTTTAACCGTTAGTTAATTTTAATTAAAGTATCGATTTTTAATTAATGATTAAAACAATAAATAAAAAATATAAACAAGGTTGATTACACTGCAAAATGATATTTTAGCCCCTTTTTAATTCTACTATTTTAGGCCCATTTGTCAGTACATAACTCCATTAGTAAAGCCTAGTCTATGCTATGACAAAAAGGCCCAAAATGTCTGCCATAATTTAAGTTTACAAACTATAACCCACACACTAACCTAACACCCTCTCCCTCCCTCATAGGTGGGCGTAATCATCGACACACTGGAGTCTCAGTCGCACAACGGCTTCCCCGTCGTGGACACCAACACCGGCGGCTGCGGCGACTCGGGCCTAACATTCAGCGCCGGTATGCACGACATGAACCAGTCGTATAGCATAGACTACGGACACGAGACCACATTCGGACGCTTCCGGGGACTGGTATTGCGATGGCAGTTGATAGTCATGCTGAAGGAGCGCCTATTCAATGAGTACGAACAGGACTGGCACTCCTATAACCTGCAGACCTTCCGGAACGCCTACCCTCGCTATGAGACTATAGAGGCGGTGGTGAAGGGTATTACGGATGAGGAACGGGATTACACGATAGATATCAGGCCTGTCATGAATCCCAGCGCCTACGCCGTGCAGCACACGGCAAGCCTGACCAGGATTTTTAGGCTGTTCCGGGCCATAGGGTTAAGACATTTGGTGGTCACTAACGATCGGAATGAAGTGATAGGTATAGTCACCCGTAAGGACATCGCGAGGTATAGGAGCCACTGGAGGGCCGGGAAGTACATGTGGCACGAGTTGCAGATTAGCCATAATTAACACG